AGAGCTTCTGTAAATGAGCCAGTGCTGTTGGGCAGTGAAGATGTCTCGTGTGTGTCACCAAAAGGGGAATTCGAGCTCTTTGCAGGCACGTGGTGATGGCAAGAGCCGACTTAATTTCTCTGGGCTTCTCTCCTACCCATTCAAGACTCTCCAGAGGCACTTCCTGCCTTTCCATGCATTTGTCAGGATGAGAAACATTTTCAGTTACTGTCGTTTTCCTGTGTGACATCTAATATCTTTGGGGCAAAGCTCCTAGAGCTAAGTTTTCCCCATCAATCTCATTCTTCAAAGTAATTCCCTTTTCTAATACTCCTACCTTCTGCTTTCAACACACACACACACATGCACACTCATCTGCTTTATCCTGTTTTATAAAAATACAACCAGTGGTCCCACTCTGAGTGACCATTTCAGATACAAACAGTTTTTTTTTAAAGGGATTTTTTGAAACTTAAGGAAAAAAAAAGAGCTCTTTTGTCAGAAGCAGGAAGGTGGAGTGTTCTTTGCAGCTCTAGGTAGCAGCTGGCTTTGGCCAGTTCTTCCGTGTAAACAGCAATTTTCCAGACTGGAATGGGTGCCGGGGTTTTCTCTGTGGAGCCAAGAGGTGTGGAGAGCAGTGGTGTTTCGTTAAATTACAGGTCTAAATACAAAATGTGCAGCAATAATTTGTGCGAGCCTGAGCAGCCTGAACACTCCCCACCCCCTGATGCACGCTACAACACACACACACACACACACACACACACACACACACCCCACTCCCCAGAGTACCGCTCTAGACCATAAAAGGAAGGGCATCTGCTGGGGGAGACGGCTGTCCCCAAGTGGTACTGGGCTCTTGGTGGGTATCTAGTGTCTCAAACAGTGGAAAGCACTCGCATACAAAGTGTTTTCTACAACCCCTCCACCGAAAACTCCATGCAAAGGACATTGAAGCTCACTTTCCTAATGGATTTTGGAGTGAGCCCTCTCTGGAACAGATGGATAGCTCTTTCCATTTGGGTGCACTGTGGGGACCGCCTGGGGCCGCCTGAGCATTTTGGTGTGCAGTGGGCAGCTTCCCTTGCTTTGTGTGGTTAAGTACTGTATTGGTGTGAGGGCTGTGGTTTAGGAAACAGTTACCCAAAGGGCCTAGCTCAGGAAGAAAACACAGGTGGCTCTCTTCACCGTGGGTGGAGAGGACTTTTTATAACGCAAAGGACTGTGGAGTCAGAGGGGGACCAGTGGTAACATGTCCTGCGCCCTGTTTCTGAGGTCAGAAGAGGGTTAAAGCTCTGGGGATGCTGGGTGGTTCCTGGGGCAAGTAGCAGCCAGGACGGAAGGATCGGGACCAGAGAGTTCCCCCAGACACGCACGCACGCACGCACGCACGTGGGCAGACATGGACACAGAAACTTCGATAGTATTGATAGGAATTTGAGGCCCTCCAGTGAGTCCCACTGGGAGCCCAGACACGACATCTAGGCCCGCGCCTGTCCTGTCCTCACCAGCAGCCCTGGAGGTGGGAAGGGAAATAGGGTAGAATGTGTGATTCCAGAGTCCTCTCTGCCTGCCTCCCGTGTCCGTCTTCAGAATGCAAATCATCAAGCACTGCACAGTCTGTTTAGCAGTGATGCCGTCAGGATTCCCAAAGTAAATCACCCCCGTTTCCCCCAGGGTGCCCCTGGTGGGAGGGGTCACCATGCAGAGCACTGTTGCCCCCAGCCGTGCTCTCCTCTCCTGAAGCCAAGACATTGGTAAGCAGCTAACCAAGTGTTGCACATCTTCCCACTGGCCTTTTTACGTCTGGAAGGTTTTGATTAAACCAGTTTCCTTTAGTGTTTGCCGTAGAGTGGGATCCATCACTGAATTGAGCTGGTTCCTGGAGAGGATGTTTTAGTAACTTGGACACTTTGGCGCAGTGTCTGGGGCCTGGGATTTCTCATCCTTCTAAAAAAAAGTATTTTACAGGCTTTTTTTGGGACTATGTAGATTTATAGCTGGGTGTCTGCCCCAGTGTTTAAGGCTCTGGTGTGATAGGTTTTTGGCTGTTGAGCAACTATAGAGAGTATAAGAGGGGGCCTTTTCATTTAATCAGTTATTGGGGAATGAACATTCTGTTGACTTCTGTTTTGGGAACGAAGACACGTTACTCATTTAATTATCTGGGTCCATGTGAACATTTGAAATATAAATAGGGTCTGCTCTATACCCACCTGACTCTAAACAACGTAGAAATGGCACCATAGGGTTCATTTTATAGAATGCTTCTTCAGAGTTTCTTTAAGTTGAGAACTCCACTAATGCATGTTTGTGGATCACAGTAGTGTTTCTTTATAGATATTTAATTACTTGGCTGGGTAAAAAAAAAAGAAAAAAAGAATGAAAAATATGAAATGAAACTATTGGGAGTCTTTGACCATCTGAAATCATGTAGAGATGCAGGAAAGTGGTATTGAAATTACAGTGGAAGGGAATGGGGCACTAAGAGTTGATTTATCAAAGATTTTTGTATAAAGTATCTTTCTGCCACACAAGCTCATTCTGAGCTTGAAGGATGAATGTAGTAATTGACTTTGGATTCGGTTACAGTGACCACTTACCTAGCATCTGCCTGGTGTCCTGCTAAGACACCTTGGCATATGTTATTTAATTTAGTCCTGATAGGAACCTCGCGTGGTAGGCTAATTATTATATCTCCATTTTATAATGATTAAATTCTACATTGTGTTGGAACATAGGCTCCAACACCTAGCACTTAATGTATCTGTTGAATGAACACATTAGGAAAGTTAGGGCAGTAAAATTTGGCGGTCAGTGAGTGTCGGGAGAGATTGAAATCTGGAGAGGGACTGATGCAGTTTCATGGGAAGGTGACCTTGTCTGCCAGAGGGACTTACGGAATGGCTGAGAAGGGGGATGGACAGTAAGGGGCAGAATAAGATGCCCACTGGTTAACGAGAGGCTCTTGGGGTTGGCACTGTGGACGCTGGTGGGATCTTCGTAGCACGTTCTCATGTACATCATCTCATCTCCTCTCCCGTTCATCTGAAAAGAGACGAAAAGTGGTAAATCACAGCTTTAAACACACGTGTAACCACTGCATGGCCCTCAGAGCCCACAGGAAGTGTGTGGAGTTGCTGGGACAATGGCCTCTTAAAATGGCGCAGCAAGCCCGCTGCAGGGACATTCCAGATGGGGATCCGTCAGCAGGCTGTGGTGGCACATGTCTCTCCCGGAAGATGCTAAGCCAAAGCCTGAGCTCCTCGAAGTCTGGGAGCCTCCTCTGTTCATGGCCGTCGTGCGTCCTGATTGATGGGAGCTCAGGGTTAGCTGGGACTGGCGCGCTGGTCTGGGACTGCACGGTGCAGAGCACTGGACCGGACCTCAGGGGAGCACTCCTCAGCACAGCCTACCCGTCCGCACCCAGGTGGTGCTCAGCCAGGGCGCTCCTCTTGGAGGTGGGCTGGTTGTACCTTCCCTCAGCCAGTGTGTCTCAGCCTTGGGGACAGTGGGGATCCTGGCAGCCACGGCCCCTGTATTTAGGCATCCCACATCGAATTGTAATGGACACATATGACATTGTGGGTTGTTTTTTTTTTTTTAACATTTTCGGCTTCATCTTATTCACTTATTTTTGGGGTTTCAGTCATGCTTTTATTTATATGTTCTCATAAAACATTTTCCCCTCAGCTTTACTGAGGTGTACCTGACAAAGTCGTAAGGTATTTAAAGTGTACAAACATTATGATTTGATATATGTGTACATTGTGACAGAATTTCTCCTGTCAGGTTAAGATGTTGGGCTTTTATTACGTGCAGCCAAATGGGTGAGACCCTGTATCTACTGAGGTTTGAAATTTTTTATTTAACATTTAGATAAAGTCTTTTTTAGTTGCACATTAAAAAAAGTAAAACACACACACAGCCTAGACTCAGTGTTCAGAATAAGATTTCTTTTCTTGTTCAATTTTGGCTCCTACCTATGATGTTTGGTTCCGTCTCTGAACCATTTGTATCATTTACTTTGGAACTGGTGTCATTCTGAAATGTGACCACAGTCATTCGTTTTCACATCAACCACATATTTGGTGTGGGCTTCTGTGGGCCTGGCGCTGTGCTTGGCTTTGCGGAGGGTACCGAGAGGAATCAGGAACTCAGTGTCTGGGGAAGGAAGTAAGAAAGACAGGATTATCAGTGACTTCTGTACTAGGTGGGAAGAAGCGGGTGCCAGGACAGACTGGTGGGTATGGTGTTAGTGTTTCAGAAGAGAGAGGGACAGCTTCTGGATGTGGGGACGATATAGATAGCTTGCATTTTGGAGAAGGTCGTTGGATCTTGCAGGATGGTAGCCATGGGAGATTTAGGCACAGAGAGGCGTTCTAGGGAGAAGGACTTATATGGACAAAGGGGTGGATACCTGGGGCTTAGCTGGGCTTGACTAAGTGTAGGGTGAATCAGGGCGAACAATGAGGAATCTAGAGGGGAAAAAGAATGAAGACTGAGCTCCAAGAGTGGCCCCTGCCTGTGGGGTCAGGCTCTGTCTTGTTGGCAGACATGAACCAGCACCCAGAGCAGCTCGGTGTAGACAGCCCACCCATATGTTTGAATGACGTGTGGCTTTTTAATTGACAAATTTTATGGTGCTTTCTGGGCAGCAGATTTTTATGCACATAATTCTGTTTTGCTCCCATCTCTTAGGTTTAAAATAGCTTTGATGTGCCACTTTTCTCTTTGTGCTAGAAATCAGAATGGAGCTGTGTCTTATGGCTTAGAGGTTCTGAAGTCTACTCTGTGTCTGTATGAAACTCAAGCTTTAGGTTGTGGCCTGAAGGCCCGAGATATCCAGCGTGGTTGTCTCCAGCATTCTAAGATGTCTCAGGAGCCTGCGCCGTACAGCTCAAATTTATCTAAAATTGCCTTCCTAGAGGCACATGGAGAGTGGCTTGTTTTAGCATCTTAGCGAGCATTGCTTCAGATAACCTGGTTAACCCATGTCCTCCTCTTGTCATTTCTTGCAGATGGTCACAAGAACAAAGAAAATATTTGTAGGCGGATTATCTGCGAACACGGTGGTGGAAGATGTGAAGCAGTACTTTGAGCAGTTTGGCAAGGTAAGTGGCGCATGGGGCTGGCTGCTGCCGCGCCCCCTCCCTTTGCCACAGCTGCGTCCTCAAGAACCTTGTCCTTGCACTTGGTCGTCCAGATTTAAGTGAAATCTGTCAGGAGCTGACATGGAAGAGTCCAGCTTGTGGTTGGCGTGGTGCCCCACGTGCCCACAGGAACAAACAGAGCGGCCTTGCAGTGTGGTGGTGCTGACCACCTGGGGCCTGGGCTGGGAGCCGGTGGTGGTGGCAGCAGTGACTGGGGAGGGATGCGGGGCTGTGACTCACAGGGCAGCAGCTCCTGCAGAAGCTGCTAGAAGCCTGTGAGTCGGTGCTGGGCTTCATTCTGTGCCTTTCTGGAAGATGCATGACGAGTGGAGGCTCCCTGGGGTCCTGTGCGGTTGAACCTTCCCCTGTCAGATGCCCAAGGATACTCGGGAAAGATGCCGGGCTGTACCTGTCAGAATGTGTGTGAGACCGAAGTAAAATGATCCCCTGGGCTCTGTTGCTGGACCAGGCTGGGGGCAATGCAGAACGCCCCCCAGTCAGCCAGGACCCAGAGTGTGAGAGTGTGTAGGTTAAGACAGAGTCAGCAGACAGACAGACAGACAGGATATGCACCCATGGGCGATGTGCTTGATTCAGCCTCCCTCTAGCTGTGGGGGGAGCTGGTGCCTTGGAAAGTAGCGTTCCTCTGATGGCCACATGGTCCCCAGGCTCCGACAAGGCAGCTTGTGGGGGAGGCTAGCCTTGCTGGCTTTGTGTGATCCCCTCCTCTGGCTGCCGCGTCCCGGGAGGCTGGCAGCTGAGAGGCTACGCCGGCCCCCTGCTTCCCGCATCTTTCAGTCGTCATGGATGTTGTCCTGGGAGTCCAGGTGTGCGACAGTCTCCCTTGCAAAGGTCTGCGTCCTTGCTGCTGGAGGGCTGGTGCAGCAGAGAGGGAGAAGACACTGCGCGTCTTCTAAGCTTTGTCACTCGTGTGCCCCCCGGTGACGGCTGTTGTGCTTGCCCTGGGTGGTACCAGGCACTGCTGCCCACTGACCGGTCTGAAGTTTCTGTGCTTTTATTTGTTTGCTCAAGGTGATGGGCGGCTCAGACCTCGTCCCCGGGTGTGTCGAGTTGTGAGCTACTGTCTGGGATGAGGGCCGGGATCACTGTTTAGCTTCAAAATGGAGATTTTTCCCGTCTCTGGTCATCATCAGTTTCTGCATGGATGGGAGACATGCAACAAAGAGAAACCAGGCTCCTCCAGCCCGGCTTGGCGTTCAGAATGGCACTTAACTGCCCTTCCAGGTCGCTTAGGAAAGACGCTTTCCCCATGGCACCGTCTTGCTTTGCCAGCTGGGGGCTGATTCCTTCTGGCCGGTTTTGAAGAATAGCTGAGTGCGTTGGGGACCATGTACTTCTCTTCGAGACTCATTTAAAGCACCAGGGGGCATTGGTCCACTGCCCAGCCCCACCCTGCCTGTGGGGAGAGACTGGAAATAATTAAATGAGACAGGTCCAGCTTGTGTAATGGAAGGCTCGGGAATGTGCGCCCCTTTGCTACAGTTCTGCCTCTAAAACAAGGCCACGAGCAGTGTTTGCAAAATTGAGGTGGAATTCTTTTTTTAGTTATAAACTGGAATCTCATGGTCCTATTTGTGGGTGTCAGAGAAGTTGGGCTATTAGAGTATTCCAGAGTGGCCGGTACCTGCCGCACCTCTGCACGCTTCCACCTCCAGGCTTCTCTCTCTCTCTCTCTCTCATTCTCCCTTTCTCTCTTTTTTCATTAACACTTACAGTTGGGACCCAGTATCCAGCAGTGGGAAGCTCTGCAAGCTTTGGCTGGGCCCACGGCTGCAACCATTCCTGCCCTGAGAACAGTTGTCCCCTTGTCAGAGAGGCATTCACAGACCATCTTCCCTGGCGTGGCCTGCGCTGGGGCTGAAGCTGCTCAGTTAATTTAGCAGTAACATTTGTAGATTCCAGCAGGATGTGTAAACTTATCAGGTGTTTTATTAAAGGACTAAGGAGGCTTTTGAATGTATCAAAGCTGTAACACTCTCTATGCTCCTGTTTTAGTAGCTTGTTTCATACACGTGCTCTCTGCACTATCTGGGTCTGTCTTCAGAGGGGCTTATTCCTCCTTGTGCTGGTGGCTTGTGTTATGTTCGTACCCACCTTGGGCAGGGTCCACCACCTCTCAGGATTCTGGCGTAATTCATTTGGAATCAGAGCCATCAAAAGAGAGGAGACTGTGCTGCTGGGCCTTAAGGCAGTGAGTCAACCCAATGGTGAGTCAACAAACTGATTCTACCCTTCAGTAGTTTATATTCTGGTTGAACAAAACCGAACACACACACACACCTGTGTCAACTAGACTCACATACTTGTACACATTCCCGTCAATAAAGTTGTTTGGGGCCCTTTTTAGTTGGTTAATGGCAAATTAGCGAGGTGGAATTTTATTAGTGAGTATGTACTGTGCTGAGTCCTGGGCCAGGCCATTGACTTATATGATCTCATTTAATTCTTCTCAGGGAGGGTGGTAGGGGTACTGCCCATTTTGTAGCTTGTTAAATGGAGTCTAGGTGGGATTGAGTCTTTGACTCAAGGTCACCCCCGAAAGGTAGAGCTGGATGCAGACTTCCCCTCCAGGCTTGTCTGTTAACAGAACCTGAACCGTGGGCCCTGCTCCAACCTCGGATCAATCCACAGGATGGGCTTAGGGTGGGGAGGATGCAAAAGAAAGGAAGAGACTGTGTCCATCCACGGGCTGGGGACGGTGCTGGGAACTGGACATAGGTCCCCTCGTCTCATTTGCATGGTGGATTTTGGTGTCATCCAGCCCTTTGACAAAGGTGAGCAGTAAGAGTCAGAGAGGTTAAGTCTCAAGGAAGGTCACCCAGGTAAGGCAGGATAACAGCCAGAATTCACACCCTCCTTCCTCGTCCTCCACATCCAGAACTTTCCATCCTTCCACGCCTCCATTCTGGGTTTGCCACCCGTGTTTTAGGTTCCCCGCACTGTCATTCCTCTCTCCTCTCCCTCTTCCCGTCGTGCCTGAGGCGGCCGCTGCTTCAACTGTTTATTTCAGGTGGCCATCAAGAGGGGTAAGACTGCTATCATGGGGCTGGGCTAAGAGAGTTTAAATATGTCATTACTGTAAGTGGAGTGGGGGCAGAATGACACACTGAGAGCTTTAAATAACTCACATTGGAGGTTTGTAAACCCTTTTGGGCATTTCTCCCACCTTCCTCCCAGAAACTTATCCCCATCCCCTTGCTTAGGGGTGTCATTACTTGTTTATATTTCCGATGAGATTATGAAGTGCGGCCTTTGGCATAAGGATTCTGCCCACTTGGATGGCCGTCCTCACCCCCTGGGTAGCTGTTCTGATGCTGTCATTAGAGGAAAGTGAGGTAGAAGTATTCCAGGCCCTCGTGCTGGGCCTGCCTGTACAGTGTCCCCACTGTGACACCTTAACAGGCCGTTTCTTTTCTGGCCTCAGTTTCTCCTCTAAGGGAAGGAGTTGGAAAAGTTGTAAAGGGTCAGATAGTAAATGTTTTTGGCTTTACAGAACATAACGGTCTCTGTCACAACTACTTAATTCTGCTTTTATATGGCGGAAGCAGCTATGGCCAATCCATTATCGGATGTGGCTGTGTTCCAATAAAACTTTATAAGTATAGGTAGTGGGCCACTTTTGTCCTGTGGGCCATAATTTGCCAGCCCCTGGACTAGGTTATTCCTAAGGTTGGTTTCAAACTTGAAAATTCAATAATCTAGAAAGTGTGTTTAAACACACAGGGGCACCTGGGTGGCTCAGTCAGTTGGGCGTCTGCCTTCAGCTCAGGTCATGATCCTGGGGTCCTGGGATTGCCTTGCATCGGGCTCCCTGCTGAGCAGGGAGCCTGCTTCTCCCTCTCCCTCTGCCCCTCCCCCTGTTCGTGCATGGTCTCTGTCTCTCAAATAAATAAATAAAATCTTCAAAAAAAATAAACATACATAAGTGGGGCAGATGGATGGATAGGTATCTATCCATAGACTGTAACCAAAACAAGATATTACCAATAGCAATGAGCATGATGAGTGAAACCGTCATAACTGTGGTAGAGTTAATTTCTGGACTGCAAGATGCAGGAACAGTGAAGGGATTCTCTATTTGGAAAAAGGTGCTATTTATAAACCAGAATCTTCGTCCTATGAGTAAGATCCAGGGATCTGTAGAGTATTTCCACCTCCTTATTACATGTGCTAGATCTAAATTAATGAAGACTCAGATTTTGTGAAGTTCAGATTTTACTGCAAAGATTCTTTTGCTATGAGTTGATGTTTCTGACTTTGAGGGATGTGTGCTTTGTGCTAAGCTTTTTGATGCATTTTAAAATCTGATTCTCAAAGCTGTCAAGCAAGATAGGTGGAGTATCTGTCATGTAGATGACCAGACTGATGTGGAAGAAGGTCATGAGTTGTCCAAGATCACACAAGCGCATGCTGGGGAGAGCCCAGGTAGTCATTCATTTTTGTACCATCTAGCCTCTTTTCACCGTTTATAAAAACCCCATCTCCTACTTTACCACGAAGCAGCCCCTGTACTCCGAGGGAGCAGGTTCTGTTCATTTGCCAAGAATGTTGATGTGCGGCAATTTATTTCACCGCGTCAGGTTTCCTAGTGGACGTTATCTGTGCTCACGATTTTCGTATGTCCAGGAATGATGTACGCAGACCATTCCAGAAAGTGGCACGTGAATGATCCTCTCGATAGGCACGTACAGACCCAGACAATCGCTTGGAGGGTTCACCACCCTGCTCCCCACATAGCCATCCAGAAGAGCCCAGCTTGGTAATTAAAAATCACTGGGATCAAAGAAGCTCCATGTGCGTGGGTTCCTCCTTCTCCCCTTTTGGCCCCTCCTTCAAGTACCGGTTTCTTAAATTCTCACTTATAGGATTTTGGAGATCAAAAAGAGGCCTTTAAACTTAATGAATTCTCGGCTTCATCCTGGATGGAGCAGTTCTGCACC